GGGAGTAAGGGGCAAGTACCACTGCTCACTGTAGGTCCGGGGTCAAACTGCAGATAATCTTCCGCCCGGGGTTTATCATCATATCTTCTATCCTGTCAGGGTCGTTAAAATGGTACCAGGACTTGTTTGGGAGGATAAAGGCATAGATGTGAGCAGATAGGCTCGATGTCATTAGAACGTCGTTTCCATGAGTCATTACTACTTTCTATGGAAGAGCATTGCTTGGCGCATCCCAGAAGAGGTTGTTGACAGAACACGTACTCGTTGGAAGATAACATGCGAGCCTCTCTAATATTTGCTCCTCTGGTGCGACCCACATCCTACCCCATCCTCCTTAAAGACAGCCCCGCGCTCGAGTAGTACATGGTCGTCCTTCCTTGTGCAAGTAGTACAGCCCCCAAGCTAGAGACTATCCCACTCTCGCGACTCCACAGCGAGCGAGGAGCGAGCTACAGCCGCTGAAAGTTCTAGTTCTAACGCCCGCCCAGTTGGACCGCCCACTTGCTAGATGCCCTCTGACGGAGGGCCGCTCAGTTGTTCTTTGTTGGGGCGGCGGGCATTAATCGGAACTGCATGCCCTTTTTGCTGACCGCGCTCGTGCCCATGAATGATTCTGCTCTCCTTTATTACATTTTATTCATTAGGAGCACATACAGTCAACTCCAACCCATCTCGCAAGGTAAAAATCACGAGCGACCCAATTTTCGTGGTGCAAAAGCTCGACGCACTACACTACACTAAACCACGCTACCGTAACCCTAAATTCGACGCCGAGTTTTTGAAATTTTTCTTTTCAAGAGTTTTTCTTCCGTGTTTTTGTTGTTTTTCGTATTCTTTTCTTTGCATTGGATGATATCCACTACTGGGAGATAAAGGGATTTGTGAGCCAGGGGTTGCACAGAGACCGCAGGAGGTGTGACTGTCAGGGAGCGATTTTGTTTATGGTGTTCTTGAGGACTCTTCTTGCTTTTTTTTCTTCTTTGGGGAATTACTTATCAGCTACTGTTTCATAATTGAACATCAACTATCCATGACACTTTTATCGCGGGAGCTGTCTTTAAATCATAGCTTCCTATTGGCTATAAATCCTAGCTAGCTACCAATTTTCCAATTTCCAGAAATGTGGTTTCTCCTAAAAAATGGGCGAGGAAGGGGGGGGGGGAGACATTGCGTACACGAAGCTCGAGAAATCGGGAGAAATTGACGATCGTAGGACGTAAGAAGTTTTCTCCCGGCTCGGAGAAGTAAGGCAAGTATGACACCCCTCTCTTAACAACCAAATACGACCCTCTGTAGGGATTTCCAGCATACGATCTGCTCTCATTATCTACCACTATAAGCATTCATTTACCTTCCTCTTTTCGTGTTTTTTTTTCTCCTTGGTCCACTTTTTGTAACACTCTCGAAACTGCTGGAAAACTCGGTCCCAAAAACGATTAGAGTTCTCAGTGCAAAATGCGGTCCCATTTCAGGGTCTTACGGCAGGGCCAGGTGTTTATCCCTTTAACGGTACTGAAGGATCCTGTGTTGAAACCATGGGGCCCATATCCACTGATTGCCAACGAAAAGGATCCTGTACTAATCGTCACTCTGCCAACGTACGACTATATTGTGGTGTTTCCTGACGTCAATGTGGAATTTCAAAGGTACGTTTTCACTGTATTGTAAGGACTGAAGGTCCCTACACTGGCTGTTTACTCACTTGTTTACGACGTTACTCAGACTGGGTAACACACTTTTCCCATTTTGTGATTACAGTGTCAAACAAGATCCATCAATGCTGGACAGCGAAACGCAGGAATATCTCATGGACCTGGTCGAGGCGGTGATACACAAAAGTGGGTGGATTGATTCTCAATCCATTATTAGGTCTACTTGTGTGCCATACGCGATTATAAGTTCAGAAAAATAGAACGGATACAGTATCCTCAAAAATTGTGCGGGGAATTAAATGTCATTCCTCGCTCTTAATGCACACAGTTGGGCATATCCTAAGCCGGTTTAGTGCCCAGGTTTGAGGCTTTTTTATTAGTCTGACGAAGCCGGATGAACCAAGACGGGAGACGCTGATTCTCGTTCCCGCCTGTGGCCAGTTGCTGCGCGGTATTGACTGCTACTGTGTGCACACGGCACTTCTCCGCATTCAATTTTACACGCAGTTCAGGATACTGTATCCCGCCTAGTTTACTAAACTTATAAGGTGATGTGAAAGACGAAGCGGAGCACCAAATGTTTCTTGCAAAACACCTGAAACAAACTCAGAGGAAGCTAGAGTTCCTGCAACTTCCCTTGAATATTTCGCTGAGTAGCACTTTCCCAGCAAAGTGAGTCTGTCTCTGCTGCTGAGCAGCTCTACTTATGGGAGTCCGGCCCGAAGACTCCGGAAGTCTAGGTCTTTGGGCACTGGGATATGCCCGCAAGGACTCTGGGCCGTATGCTGTACTCCCCCTCGAGGGGAAATATCCCCTGGTGAACCAACACTCTCCGCCGTTGTCTTTTCTGATGCCCGTCGTCTCTCTGGCTCTCACAGATCTGTCGCCGTACCCTCCTGACGCATGCTCTACGCGAATATAGTGAGCGCAGAGTATAATAGATATGATCCTCTGGGAGAGCACTGCCCTTTGAGGGGAAGTACAAAAAGTAAAGGAGCAAAGTAGCAAAAGAAAAGAAGCATACGCGCCTGGCGTCTTTGTTTTTTTAGCCTCTTCCTGTGCTCTTGTTTTGGCCTATTCTTGTTTCGCAACACTCAGATTCCCATTATGCTCAGGGACAGTACTACTCTAGGCTTTATTTAGGTTAACACCAGATGAGCAGGAAATGCTGTGGCAGAAGCGTTCATATCTGATGCATCTACCGGAAGCGCTACCTCTGGTACGTTCGCGTCATTAAGATGATCCTTAAATTATTCTAATGACTACCAATTTCCAGGTGTTGGCTTCTGTTCCCGATTGGGGCTTCTATTTTCTTTCGAATGTTTACCAGATTATTGAGGGTTGGGTTCCCCTGTCACCAGTTCAGGCCATGCAACTCCTGCTACCGCAGTAAGTTTTCAATACTGGATGAACAGCAGCGACCTGTATTTTCAGTCTTAGACCTGGTACAGTCGTCATCCTCGCGCCTGATAGGAACAATCGGAGGACGCGGACGCGGGTGAATCAGCGACCGCGTCAGGAGTAGCAAACTGTCGGCGGCGCGGGGCCAGCTACTATGCGTCCTCTCACTCCCTACGCGCTCGACACGCGCCGCATAGTACTCTGCCGCCTGCCCATTGACGGCTGGCGCGGCGATCAGCTGATTATCGACTCGACGAAGCCGATTTTTCTCCAAAAATCGTCTTATTTCGGCCGGCTTTCGAGAAGGTGTGTTACTTTTTTCTTTTCTTGATAAATTGTATTAGTGTCTTGCTCTTTTTTGTTGGTTTGGTGTAATTTTTGTTGTTTTAAATGCTTTTTTCGCTATTGTTTTTGCATTTTCAGGTTTCGTCTGTTTTTTCCCATTTCTTCCCCCTATTTGGCTTCTTTTTCATTACTGTGTCACTGATGTGTTCCTGTCTTTGCTGAGAACACTCTCTGACACGGTTTTGAAGACTAGAGCCGCTTTTACACCCGTGTTCTTCAAGCTGCCCGTAAAATTGCCGGCTGGTGAGTATTTCAATTTATTTTTTGTTTATTCTTTTTTATGATGTATTCTTCATTACTATACCATTGTTGTGTTCTGTGCTACGCGAAGAACACACTTTGGCATGGTTTTGGAGCTTGTGTTTTTTAAAAATGAGCTTTTTTTCATGAGTTGTGCTAGTGCCCGTTATTTAAGGCGGTCGGTGAGTGTTTCGCTCACGGAGCGCAATAGACGTGGTATACAAATCAGAAGTGAGTCGCCACACGTTGTGCCTCGGTAGCATAGTGGGTAGTGTTACAGAATATAGTATACGAGGTCAAAGGTTCGAATCCTTGGTGGGCGTGCTCTTTTGCATTTTGAAGGCGAGAATGGCTCAGTTAAGAAAAGCCCTCTTCATAGCATTTTCTGATAATGCTAGGCTGTGTTGAACCTTTCAGAGAGCACTGCTGAAAAAATGCAAAAGAGCACGTCCACCAAGGATTCGAACCTTTGACCTCGTATACTATATTCTGTAACACTACCCACTATGCTACCGAGGCACAACGTGTGGCGACTCACTTCTGATTTGTATACCACGTCTATTGCGCTCCGTGAGCGAAACACTCACCGACCGCCTTAAATAACGGGCACTAGCACAACTCATGAAAAAAGCTCATTTTTAAAAAACACAAGCTCCAAAACCATGCCAAAGTGTGTTCTTCGCGTAGCACAGAACACAACAATGGTATAGTAATGAAGAATACATCATACAAAAAAAGAATAAACAAAAAATAAATTGAAATACTCACCAGCCGGCATTTTTACGGGCAGCTTGAAGAACACGGGTGTAAAAGCGGCTCTAGTCTTCAAAACCGTGTCAGAGAGTGTTCTCAGCAAAGACAGGAACACATCAGTGACACAGTAATGAAAAGAAGCCAAACAGGGGGGACGAAATGGGGAAAAAAAAAACAGACGAAACCTGAAAACATAAAAACAATAGTGAAAAAAGCATTTAAAACAGCAAAAACTACACCAAATCAACAAAAAAAGCAAGATACTAATACAATTTATCAAGTAAAGAAAGAAAAGTAACTTACCTTCCCGAAAACCGGCCGAAATAAGACGATTTTTGAAGAAAAATCGGCTTCATCGAGCCGACAATCAGCTGTCGGGCTCCACCCGTCGGGGCTGCCAGCCGCTCAATGCCGTCATCGGGCAGGCGGCAGAGTACTATGCGGCGCGTGTCGAGCGCGTAGGGAGTGAGAGGACGCATAGTAGCTGGCCCCGCGCCGCCGACAGTTTGCTACTCCTGACGCGGTCGCTGATTCACCCGCGTCCGCGTCCTCCGATTGTTCCTATCAGGCGCGAGGATGACGACTGTACTTGATTCCATGTCGGAATGCGTTTCATGGGGGAGCGGGGTGCAGATTTGGCAAAGCGCGTAGCACGTTCTCCTTCAATTGTTGAAGAGGGAAAAACGACAGCCGTTGCAGGAAAACGTGTTGGCGCTGCGCCAAGTTCTGTCCTCCCTCTTGACACACCAACATCCGGAGCGAACAAGAGTGTAGAATACTGGCTCCGCCACAGATATCTCACTTACTAAGACGTGGTTGGTAGATCAGATGTGTATCTCTTTCCAGATATCCTGATGCGCGAATAAGGCAGAAAGCCATTGAATGGATTATGTGTGCATCGTCAGACTTCTTATTTAACGCTTTGCCGCAACTTGTAGAGGCTCTGAGGTTTGAAATATTCGAGTCATCTTCACTGGCAGTAGCTCTTCTGACGCTGTCATACAAGGATCGGCGATTTGCTCTTTGAGAATACTGGTAAGTTCTAACTTGTTAGCTGCCCCTACCCCCACCCATTGAATTTGAGTGATGCGTTAATTAAGGCAGTTACAACAGAGGATAGATCATTGTGTCGATTTTGCCTATGCTCAGCGTTGTTCGCTATTGCAGAAGGAGTTGCTAGAGCGACACGAGGCTGACCATCTTGAGGTTTGTGTAGTCATACTTTACTACTAGTTTTTTTTAGTTTCTCTCATTGAAGGGATGAAATTGCTCGGCAGCATAAGTTATTGAACGAACTCGATTGCATCCAAATGGATCTACGTAGAGAGGAGTCAGATCAAAGCTTCGCGGGTAGAGCATTCATTTCCTTTTTGATTTTTTCGCTATTACCCCATATGCACGCCTGTAGGATTGTTAGGAAGGTGGATCCTTCTTTATGCGAGGCGTACAGGTCCGCAGCCGTAAGTGTGGCGCCCTTATTATTCAATACGTGGTCTTAGGCAGCGTTCAGACTTTGCGACGGCAGCGCTTCTGTCGCGCGTTCGACACAATCAATGCAGTCGAATCGAAAGCATGCGCATCGATCGCGCCGAACGTGCGGGCTGAGGCGCTGCCGTCGCAAAGTACTGAAGCTGCTTACGCTTCAGAGACAGAGTCGCGGAAGCTTCGAGTTCCTCCCGCTCCACACACCATCCATTACGCGGACCACCCACTCTCGAAAGCTGCACCATACGACATCCTTACGCTCTAACCTTATCCAATTGCCGTTGCTCGCCTGCGCTCTTATGGGGAAGGGTGGGCGTATGGCGTGGCTACTGTGTACGTGTCGCGTAGTCGATGATGGGTGGAGATATAAAAAATAATACCAGCCTGTCCTCAGGAATCTAGCTTTATTGCCTCGCACATCCGAAGGCAGTAGCCACACTACTGAGGCTGTGTACCTGCGCACCTGTCGGACGGTAATGATTCACCTCTAAAGTACTGTACTGTTTGTATTCAGCCGACTGAACTGGCTTTATAACTCATTGTGATTTTTTATCAATGTTATAACACTGTTATAGCTAGCGCTCCTACGCTCGCGCCTCGGAACCTTGGATGGTGCATTGCTCCATCATAATGTTCGCCTACCCTGCCTTCCATCATTCAAATGCAGTGGTGTAGTGGTTAAAGACTGCAACATTTTCAATTCTAATGCGAAACCTCTAAAAAATTGTATTCCGTGTGTCTTAACTCCACTTACTCTATTATTCACAAGGTATATGGATTTTTCTTTACGAATTTTGTTTCACGGTTGCTAAAGCATTCTTTACAGAGTGGTGACGATATGAGGCAGGATGCATTAGTATTACAAATGGTTTCATTTATGAATGGAATTTGGCTTAGCGAGCACCTAGATCTACGAATGATAACTTTTAGATGCATGCCTGTTGGGTACAGGAAAGGTACTGATAGCCTCAAAGGCAAAGGGACGGTTGCTGATTGCTGTATGTTACGCGTTTAGCTTTGCCCGAGGCGCGTCACTCGTGAAAGGTCGCGAGGAGCCGACACCCCTTCTAGTGAGCGTCACAATGGACGTTGCAGCCAACCACCAACGGCCCTCACGCCACAAGCCCCGCTTTGCCTTTAAAGCCAGCGTTCAGGACTTGTAGCGCTACAGCGTCGCGCTACAGCTGTAGCGCTACAGTTGTACCGAACTCCAGCTTTTATGTTTTTTCTTTCTGTATTCAACCCTCTTCTCTTTGTTTCTCATATTTATCTGATAGTGAGCTCCTGTTTTCTACTTTATCACATTTTAATGTAGTTTTTGATACAGAAGACTGTGATAATTGGTTTTATTTATCGTTTTTGACTTTAATTATTTGGTTTCAGAGTTGCTATTGATGTTTGATGGCTTTGCTTGATGTCTTGCAGTGCTGCCTCGTGTTGATCCCGATTGCGAAATTGTTTTCATGTATCAAAAACTACATTAAAATGTGATAAAGTAGAAAACAGGAGCTCACTATCAGATAAATATGAGAAACAAAGAGAAGAGGGTTGAATACAGAAAGAAAAAAAACATAAAAGCTGGAGTTCGGTACAACTGTAGCGCTACAGCTGTAGCGCTACAAGTCTGAACGCTGCCTAAAGTTCAAATTTGATTTTCGTTGATCGCGATCCAGGTACATAGATTTTTTATCTGATCTTTATGGTAGTGTAAATTTTTCTCCCTTTCTAGGAATGGCCGAGCTGGTGTTAGACTGCGCGACATTGTGTGAAATTCAAAAGGAATTTAGGGACAGTTGACGGCTGCGCTCTTCAAGGAAGAATCCGTCATGAACTGGCTGATGAAACACAATACCACAGAGTTCATTTACAAGGCAACGTAAGTTGTTATAAATAGTTCTAGGTGCATTGCTGCCTTGTAGTTAGTTCACTGTTGCGTTTGCGTTGAACAAGGGATTCGTGGGGTTAAGGAGCGTAGGAAGAAGTTATGATCGATTCTTCCAGAAAATATTTCTTTTAGGCTTGGATACTTCAACTCGCTCATGTTGCTGATGTGTGTTGCGACGTACCGTTGCTAGCAATAGTGTGATCGTCTCATAATCGATAATTACTGTAGTAACACTCACTTGGTCATGTGCTTCACATCATTTCGGCAAGTATATGGCGATTGGCAGACGGCTGGTGGATTCAGGAGGTTGTAGTAATGCTTTTTATTCGTTATCTAATTTGGTTCATTTAATCGTTCCGCTTAGTTCTGCTTCCATACTGGGGAAAATATTGACAATTTGTTACGATTTGTCCCGTAAGTACTTATCGGAACATATTGGAGCTTGCTAAGTTTATCGTTAAGCGTGTCAATCGGCTTCACAGTATACTGTAACTTACTCATTGAACGTTGTGTGTGGCTCGAAGGGCAAAGGCACAAATCAGCGCGTTAAGTGAGACGCAAGTGTGGCCCTCGGTAGCGCAATAGGGAACGCAGCAGCCCGGCAAGTGGTAGATGCGGGTTCGAGTCTCACCCGTGGTTCGGCTTTTGCACACAACTCAGCACTCTTGTGCAGATGTCACGTTAGTGTGTCACTTGCCTTGTGCCGCTCCTTTGAAGGACTTCCGAAGCCGAAACCCGCCGTTTAAAAGTAGTGTAAGATTGGCGGCTTCCCGCTGGCTGTGGCGTTGAGTAGAGGTGGGCAGTGATTGTAGTATAGCCGCCAGCCAAAGCGCATAAGCCAAGCGGGTGAATCACGAAAACAAAAGCATTTTTTTCAAGCAGCGTCACAATCCGTCCCTTCCCCGTCTCACCCTCCCTCCTTCGACCAAATGTCGCTGGTCTCGCCCATGGGGATCTCTAGGCGTGGTCCGCTGCCCTGGTCCATGTCCGTGCGAAGGTGTACACGTCCATAGCTATGGGAAGGTACACTACTTCTTCAGTGGGAAGTGCGCCGAAATGAAAGTAGAAGATTGCGATAGCTTTTCAATTACATCTCCGCTCGCCTACAATACACGTTAAGCGAACCACAAGCACGCAACACGCCGCACATCCAGCCACACTCCCAATCATGACCACACGTCTACTTCTGTGCGGCCCCTTAAATGGCTGGGCCGCTTCAGAGCTTGCTCTCAGCAGCATGCGTGGCCGTGATACGGTGGTTCAACTGCGATTATTTATTGCGTCTGTGAAGACAACCGTCTTCGTCTACAAAAGCATGAAGAATGCCAGCTGGGGGGCGTGGCAATGATATGTTGGCGTAGATACCAGCGTCGCAGTGCGGCGGTGGCATCGTCGCGATGCGACACTGCGGCGCCCACCAGAACAATGCATATTGTATAACATACTCTATAATGCACAGCTACGATAACGAATAATGTAGAATTGCTTATGCCAAATAATAAGAAATGGTACATGCTGAGTAATGCGAAAATCCAAAGCGACATTCGAAATCGAGTACAACTATTTGCCATTTTCTATGGAAAGTGGACACAATAGGAATATTACTCGCACCGATCTTCTTCCTACGCTCCTCTGGCACTTGACTGACTTCTCCGACGCCGCTAGAGTGTTTGCCCTTGTACGAGGTTCGTAGTCGACATATTCGGAAATAAGTGGTCCATGTGATTCCATAGCCAGCACGCATGGCAGAATATCGTCACGTCATGTCCGTCTACTAGTGAATATTGGTAGAAACGAAGCAACTGACGTAAGGCAGAGTGTGACTAACAGAGATTAAACCAGCTCGGTATTAAGACGTGCTCTGTGGCGAGGCGATGAATGGAATCGTTGAAGGTGACGAGTAGCAGAGGGACCAGAATGGGTGCGATCAGGCAGGGCAGAGTCGAATTGTTAGTTGTCGTCATCAGAAGCGACATGTAGTAACGAATGAACCAGGAGGAGTGGACGGGAAGGGGCGAGGGCGTAGGGACGGGTGACGAATATAGTAGCGCATGAATATGAGTAGGGAAGGAAACAGCAGAATCTGACGAGCGGCGAACGGCGAAAGGTGGCAAACTCAGACCGCACGAATGTAGTCAGAATTTGCGCCTTTTAGAGGAAGGTCCGGAGCACAGAACTGTATTATGAGTTCCGCGGCAGTTTTTGCACGTCACCGTGCAGTCTGCTGCGCCGTGGTCGGGACGTAAGCATCGACCACACAATCGAAGTTCTGCCACCCTCATTGCTCGACTCACTGAGTCAGGATAACGGTGGCAACGGGGAGTGAGGTGACCGTCCACATTTTCCGTAACCGAACAAAAGGCACATGGAGATTTAGGTGCAGAACGATCCAATAGAGTATGGACCTCTTCCTTCATTTCAGCTACCATTGAATATAGTGAGTCGAGGCGGCCAGTGATAGTTTGTAGAGTGTTGCCGATGGCTTCCATAGTGGCATGTCGGTCGTATTCCATGAGCTGCAGCTCTCTGTCGATATCGTGTGCCATGAATAAGTGGAAGGAAGGACTGTGAGCGAAGGAAGCTTAGATACAGCTGCGGCCTCATGCATCTGAAGAGTTTCTTATGCTTGTAGCTCTGTTTTGACATGGTGTACTGTAGTTCGAAGTGATGATACGGCGAGCTCTAGGAGGTGGACGGCCAATTTGCCGAGAGAAATAGTGATTGCAACTATCATTTTAACCAGAGCTAGTAATATCGCCGGACCAAAAAGATAGGTGAGTATGATAAGCAACACCAAAGTTATTATGGTTCCGAGAGTGACTTTCCAATGCCCAAGCAAGATCATCCACATGGGGGACATGTCCGGTAGATGAAAATCGCGTAGCCAGTCAAGCTGTGGCACATTGGTGGATGTGGCTCTGAGGAAGATATCCGCTTCGCCAGAGTAGGTAACATAGCGAAGTATACCGCGCAGTTTTGTTGTTACATTTTTACCGCCGCAGTTTGTGCGGCAATATCCGTCTATTACGGCTCTATCGAATGCTAGCTTGACAGACGTTACTGTAGTATTGGGACTACATCTGATTGAGAATATGTTGTTCATGCAGTCAATTGTTGCCCATGAGACACTGCTCGCTTGACATGCGATTTCGAGCGAACTCCCTTGGTCACAGTTATAGCATCCTTTCAAATCTTTGACATCTATTGAACACGGTGAATCAATGTTCAGATGTGCGCTTTCTAGTTTGGTAGTTGAAATGATTGCTACTGTTGTTTCTCCTTTGTTATATTTTGCAAAGAGTTTTCTCTGTGCGCCATATACCGTAATGTGCGGACTTGACTTCGGTAAGATGTAATCGTTGTTGCTACGGAGTTCTGCCAATGTGTTGATTTGGTTTTTTTTTTTTTTGTGTTATACGGACAGCGACACGTGGGTATGCTGCTACCAACCTCGCAGTCGCAGTAACGTGTGTTGACACATTGCGAAAAGTTGGAAACTGCTTGCTCGTAATTTTGGCACATTACGGGGAAAATGTGTTCGTTTGGAATAACAAGAGTTTCGTTGTCTCCTTGTGCATATTTTTGATGGAGGGCAATTTGGGGTGTCTGTACCGAAATTACGGTGAAGTTGAATTGTGCGAATTCCTTTGTGTAGTATGGTGTCAATGAAATAGTGCCACTTTCTCTGATATTATAGAATTCTACCGTAACGTTGAGCGTGACTGTTGGTTTCCACGCAGCACATTCGAAGACTTCGTATGCTTGAGAAGTCGTTGGAATATGCGAGATGCGATAGAAGGTACAAGCTCGCCATGGAGCAATCCAAGGGATTATGCACATGCATCTGATGCCGCTGCATTGTGTGGAACACGAACTGTATCCTGGGTAAGGAGCGCTATCGTTCAACTCAGGAATTATTTCGGTGGATTTCATGGATTCACATCTGTCAGTACGACATGATCCCATTCCAAGGCATCTTGTAACATAGTCCATTCGATGGTATGTTTCTCTGGTCCAAAATAAGTCGATTTTCTCACATGATAAAACTTCTGAAACGCGCTCTATTGTTATGAGACCAACGCTTACGTTTCGATGGCGCAATTGTATGCATAGGCTAGTTTGGATGTCATTGAAGAGTACCTCTCGCCTATACTCGTAGTGACACTCACTTCGCTCCGAGCAGACGAGGTCGATGGAGTGTCTCATGTAGCCATTTTGACAAGCTGAGCTTGATGTGGCTAGTAGTGATATGGCGAAACTAAGTATCAGAGCTGTAGATGCTAGCGATGCAGGTCGGAAGGTGGCTAACGAGAAGGGGGCATTTTGCCTTTCTGTGGTAATTACCGACAACGAAATGTTTGTTGTGTTTGACATTGTCGTGTTGTCTTTTTTACGCTTCCCTCGTAGAAGCCAGAGTACCAGTAGTACGAAAGTAATTGCGCAGTAACATATCACTCCGACTGATACTATTGCTCCGAGTGGCCAACAGTGTGGATTACCGATCAAGGTTTTCGACAGAAAGTGGGCAGCGTGGTCACAAAATGGTGTAGCTTCACAAGTGCGCTGCTCAACGACTTTTTCCGATTGCAAGGTTATCCTGTAGTCGGGCGTACGGGGATGAGGCGCCAATTCATATTGCATTACTGATGGACTGTTGTTGAATGTTCTACAGTTGTCATCAAAACAGAGTTGGAACGGTGTTGGTGGGGGGTAGATGTTCACCATTCCCTCTTTACAATAGATTGTAGTTGCGTCCATACCCTTAACAAGTGAGAGTATAGCTAACATTAATAATGTGGGTGAATAACTCTTTCCGCGAGTTGTAGTAAGAACAGAAAGTTCCCTTTCCATTCCTTCGGCATTTTCTTCGTCTTCATTTTGTGCCAGCTGGCGCAATGCTTTGTTGGCTTTGGTTCTTAAACATCGCGGTGGCTGAATTTTTTGCTGCGGTGCAAATGTTGAGCGTGTTACTTTCTTTGTATTCCCAGCTGTGCGACGCTTGCTGCCTTTCTCAGCAGTTGCAGGTATGCTTTTTTCTGCATCTGCTTTCAATGTTTATTTTTGCATGCTTTCACTTGGATGGCTTCTGAGTTCTAGCGGGTATAATTTGGTAATTGGACGCTGAATAGTTGAGCTTGTATGAGATAGTTTTATTATGGCCGAACGGAAGAGACCGTCAGCGCTTTTCACTAGTTCTGTAACTTTCCCGATTGGCCAATGGCCCCGTGGCAGGAGTTCCTGCTCAATCAGTACTATCTCTCCCACTTCAGGAAACGCTCTAGCGTTTGTTCTTCTTGTTTTGAACAGTGATTTCTGCGTGTCTCTGAGAACTGTGAGATATTCAACCTTCCAGACGTCCCAGAATCTATCTGCTATTTGTTCTGAGTACTGTAGAGCTTCCTTTGCTTGGGATACTGTTTGAATGCACTCAGGATCGTATGTGGGGTCTTTGTCATCACTGTCAGCTGAGTTGGTGAGAGGGAGAGAGAAGCTGACATTTCCCATTAGGAAATCTATGGGGCGCAGTGGATATGCGCAAGTATCCGTCGTGCTTATTGCGGTCAAAGGTCTTGTGTTCAGAATCGCCTCAATTCTTATTATTGTTGTTGTGAGATCGCTAAAGGATAGCTTTCTCCTCCCCACGCTTTTTTGAAGAGCGAGTTTTATCGACTGTACTAGTCTTTCCCAGACACCACCCATCCAGGGGGCACCGGGAGGATTGAACAACCACTTGATTCTTTTTCTAGTGCAGTAGTTCATCATTGAGTTTTCTTCATTATTATCGCATGAAAACAAGGTGTCTATAACCTTTTGCCCTAGTGAGAAATTTGTTCCACAATCTGTTCTCATAACTCTGGGAGCACCTCTGCGCGAAACGAAGCGTACGAAACTGCTAAGGAATGCTTCCGCTGATAGATTTTCGACGACTTCAAGATGAAGCGCTCTAGTCGTAAGACATGTGAAAATACAGACGTACACTTTGGAGTTGTCATTCAACATGTATGGACCTAGGAGATCACATCCTGTGTTCTGAAAAGGCTTCGCTCGCACAACTCTGTCTTGTGGTAGGTCTGCCATTTCAGGTGCTTGAAACGGAAGACTTTGAGCTTTTTGACATATAACGCAGCGTTTCATTATTGACTGAAGACATTTAGATGGTTTGTTCATCCAAAAACGTTGGCGAGCTAGTGTTAGTAAGTGGTGTTTTCCACAATGAGCATTGTCTGTGCAGATCTAGTAAGATCAGTCGCATCATTTCTGAATGCGACGCTATGTAGATGGGGTTACGAGTGTCGTATGGCAAATTAGCGTTTTGCAAACGTGATCGACAACGTATGATTCCCTTTTCGTCACGGAATGGTCGTTTTTCCCGATGACGTTTCTGAAGATCTTCTAGGTTGACACTTTCGTGTTCTAGTTTGAGCAGGAGACGCTCTGCTTCATCCAAGTCAGATGCAGTAATTGCCATTGTGGTGGAAAACTTGAGGGCATGTTCATTTGAGTGCTGGTTTTCTTTTTCCTCGAACGATTTTGCTTTTAGGATGGCTATGAATTTTCCGACATAGCTTAGCACTCGCAGTGCTTTGTTGTAGCTGCTGAAACGGTTGAGATCTATTATTGGATTTGGTTCGACCTCAATATTTCTTCTATGGCATTGTGTCTCTGTTAACACGACCTCTTGTTGTTCTACTACATCAAGGTCCCATGGATCGATGGATTCGATGTTTGTGAGTGCAGATCGCTCATTCTGGTTAAGCAACCACTGTGGTCCATTGATCCACTGTAGCTTTTTGAGTTGTGAACTTGTGGCTCCGCGCGTGCCTGCGTCAGCTGGATTCTTTTCACCTGGCACGTGAAACAGATGACATGGACATCCGAACGCGATCAATCTGTTCATGATTGTTTTTATTCTGTCTCTCTGATTGGCTACGAACAGCGGGACCTTCCGCGAAGAACGTATCCAGCTCAATGCGATAAGACTGTCGCTTGCGATGTTTACCGCGTGCAGCTCGTAGCGAATAGGGCGGGCTATTGATTCCGCTAGCCGTATAGCAAGCAAAATAGCAAGAAGCTCTAACTGTGGAGTGGTCAGTGCTCTTCTTTGTGGGGCTAATTTAGTCTTTCCACTAACTAAGCATGATATTTCGCTAGCGTTGTTGTTCTCTAGGTACCCACACACAGCCATTGCCGTGTTGCTTGCATCTGCAAAGACCCAAAGGGAGGGTTTGGCTTGCTTACTGCTGGTGACAAAAAATCGGCGTGGGATTTGCACATGGAAGTTGTCAATGATTTTTGTTATCTTTCGCCATTCTTCAGCGAACTCTTGACTGACTGCACTGCCCCAATCGAGGTTTTCTTCGAACATTTTTCTGAGCAAGTGCTTTTGGCCTACCATGAGTGGGGCGCAAAGACCTATTGGGTCGTAAATTGAATGATGCTGCCTTAGGAAATCCCTTTTCACCTTTGGATTATTGAGGAACTTAGCCGTCAGTGAGTACTCATCGGAGACAGGGTCATAGTCGACTCCGAGAAGTTTCATGGGTGCATAGGGTGCCCTGTCCCTTTCGTCAATTTCATCGTTCACTTCAGGACAATTACTTACAAATGCACGAAGATTCATGCCAATTTTGGAGAACAATGCTTTAGATTCTTTGTATTTTTCGATAGCTTCCTCTTTAGAGTGTGCTCCTATGAGAACATTGTCAACATAGAGTTGGGACAGAATTTCATTCCCAAGCGGTGTCGGATAGTGTTGTAAGTGGGCTGT